AATGTCGAATACAATACGGTGACCTCACCAAAGGTGGGCCTCCGTAATTAATTAATTAAAGGCAAATGGACAAATTGAACTTCATATAGATTCAAAATCTTATTATTCCAAGGCTCCATTGACACTAAAAGGTTTGTCTATCTTGCAATTAGAAAGAGTCTCTGAAGATTAATGTCAAAAATTATCTTAATTGTTATGTGCATGAATAGCTAAGCTTTTAAGTTTCTGTGACATAACTTAACAGAAAATTCCCACAAGAAGTGCTCGTTGTGATGCTCAAAATCAATAAGCAAAGACCAGATTGCTTTCATTATTTATTAATGTTCTTCGTTGTGATGGTGTGGGTGGAAAGAAACCATGTAATCGGACTTAAATAATGCATCAGAATTGCTTTGTCTCACGACGCCTACGTCAAACATTACGCATTAATATTAATAGAAGTTATTTGACGTTCATTTTAGTGTCACTTGTACTTAGCTCAGAAAATTTTATTAATGTCGTTCCGGCGAAGCATAAACAAATATTTAACCGGAATTTATGAAACTTTATGTTCTTGGAAGAAAAATATTATTTGATTTGTCTTCCTAGCTTTTATATTAAGATAAATAACAATCGTGAATAAATAAAGCGAACAAACGAAATTTAAATGTCATCATTCACAATTTTCCTGACGTTGATAAAGTCTTTATGTCATGGGCTTGTCAACAAGATAGAAGTAAATCAAGAGAATCAGTTTCGAAATCTTGATACTTGATTCAGATACAAATCAACGAACTCAACAGTTGTAGACAGTTCCGAAGTTATATATTTTGAAAAACCATTTTCCTAATTTTCCCATCTCGATTCAATTGAAACTCATAAAAATTTAATCAAGCATGAAAAGCTTTCCACAAATCCATTAATTTTTCAACTTCGTAAAACTTCACCCTCTCCCTCACTTTCAAACTGATTTCGAGACGGCTGACAAAAGATGCAAAAAGCTTTCGTTGTGAAACTTTTGTAACGACATAATTTATGATCACTTCACTTTACGAAAACATCTGTTTTGTAGAGAAAAACCACCGAAAAATCACGTTTCAAACATAAATCATCGGAACTAAGAGAAAACAAATGGAAAGAAAGGAAGAAAGTGAAAGAATTTGCCATCAAACATTATTGTTGAGCGTCATCAGTCGCAGAGCTTTTTTATCATTAATTTTATTGTTTCATTGAGCCCAAGACGCTTGTTTCGTAAAAGAAATCAAATTACTTTCAATAATCTAGATTCATGTTCAAGCAACAAAATTCTTGAACATTCTAAACGATGATTTGTAAAAAGTTGGGACGAAACTTTTCTAATAATGAATTTATGTCAACCATGAATGTCATTGTATTTATTTTAGTTGAAAATATTTCACTTTTCGTTACATTATTATTGTTTCAGAAACATCAACATAAATATCCAAGACCGCATCTTTCCGCCTTCATAGTTAAGCATAAAAACCAACTTCATAGAGTGGAGGAAAATAAAACTTTTCTAATTTGCATTATGAAAGCAAAACGAAAGAAAATATTTCAAGCATCTCGTCATAAATCATTTTTTTATATTTCACCAAAAGCAGAAAATCCTTGGCTCTGTGCATAGTTTGTTGGGGCATTCCTAATATCTTTCTCTATCTGCATTCTCAAACAACATTAAACAATCGACAGAATTTTCTTTTAACCCTCTCAGCAACAAAATCTCATAAATAAATGCAAATGTGCATACACATTTTACCAACTGTAATGCTTATAATTGAAAAATTATGATTTCCGCATACAAAGGGATAATTCATCATCATCATCAGAGTAGGGAGTGCACTAACCAGTGCACTAAAGCGATTAAGAATATAGGAGTATGAACCCCTTCTTGTTTCGCTCCCTATATCCCGTCATTTGATGATTGATGTTAAATAAGGAAAGTTTCAAAAACTACCTTAAATTTTGCGTAAAAAGTGAAATGTGCTTGTAAATTTAGCTCAAAGCGACCAATTTGACCGCTGATACAGGAAGATGGGGGTGATTTAGGATTTATTCTACAAACCTTCAGAGATGAGTTTCTCTGAAGATGAGAACCCTCACCAGCCATCTCCCTGATCTCACTGTCCGCCGAAGAGGTCGAAGAAGGTGGACCGGACACTCGTTCTCCTCATAACAAGGAGAGGATCCTCCAGTTCCACCCCCGCGAGCTCCTCAACATTAATGACAGTGTGGTCAAAAATCCTGATGATTGACTTTAAAACGTGAAGGACGAAATAAGAGCAACAAACATGATTTGTCCGTTCGAAATCTTCAACACGAAAATCAGGAAGAGGGGGGAATTTTGGGAATTTATTCTACAAACCTTCAGAGAAAAAAGTTTCTCTGAAGATGAGAACCCTCACCAGCCATCTCCCTGATCTCACTGTCCGCCGAAGAGGTCGAAGAAGGTGGACCGGACACTCGTTCTCCTCATAACAAGGAGAGGATCCTCCAGTTCCACCCCCGCGAGCTCCTCAACATTAATGACAGTGTGGTCAAAAATCCTGATGATTGACTTTAAAACGTGAAGGACGAAATAAGAGCAACAAACATGATTTGTCCGTTCGAAATCTTCAACACGAAAATCAGGAAGAGGGGGGAATTTTGGGAATTTATTCTACAAACCTTCAGAGAAAAAAGTTTCTCTGAAGATGAGAACCCTCACCAGCCATCTCCCTGATCTCACTGTCAGCTGAAGAAGTCGAAGAAGGTGGACCGGACACCCGTTCTCCTCNAATATTAACATGATGCTTGCATGCTTCAATATAAAAGTAGTCGAACCCAATTTTTTGAAATTGCAAGAAATAATTCAAAAAGCTGCTTTCAGTTTAAGAAAAGTTCTGTGTATTAGCTTTATCTTGATGGCTGCTTTGTGAGTCACGTAACGCTTGTTACAGCTGAAATTNAAAATATTTCAAGCATCTCGTCATAAATCATAATTTTTTTATATTTCACCAAAAGCAGAAAATCCTTCGCTCTGTGCATAGTTTGTTGGGGCATTCCTAATATCCTTCTCTATCTGCATTCTCAAACAACATTAAACAATCGACAGAATTTTCTTTTAACCCTCTCAGCAACAAAATCTCATAAATAAATGCAAATGTGCATACACATTTTACCAACTGTAATGCTTATAATTGAAAAATTATGATTTCCGCATACAAAGGGATAATTTGTAATTTATGTTTTAACATTAAAGTTCAACTAATCTCCATTTTTTAATTTAAATGTTCAAAATGAATTCAACAATTTTAATTCGCAAAATTTTTATATTAAAAATCTTTTCAACTTTTTCCTTGTTAATCAAACGAAAATTGTGATTGTTCCCTTTGCACAGCAGAGAGTTATGTTAAACATAAATAAGAAATATACAAAAAAATATGCAATCAGAAGAAAAGCAATCGTATTTGTGTCTCCATAATCTCGAAATGCTTTTTGAGGGTTTTTCCAAGAGCCTTTTTTTGGCAAACAGTAAAACTATTTTACTATTTTACTATTTTCCTTATGTTATGGAGAAATGCAAGAAAGAGAAACGAAATTGAAGCACATACCTAACGAAAGCTGCTACTTGCGACCTAGTCGAACCCAATTTTTTGAAATTGCAAGAAATAATTCAAAAAGCTGCTTTCAGTTTAAGAAAAGTTCTGTGTATTAGCTTTATCTTGATGGCTGCTTTGTGAGTCACGTAACGCTTGTTACAGCTGAAATTGAGAAGATTTATCGAACTTCATTTGTTGTACAAAGCGTTGAGAATGTTTCAATTACATTTTTTCTCTGAAATGGTTAAAGAAATCTCGTCACGTAACATCGCGATATCCCTAGTAGTCCTCGAAGCTGTTGAGATTGAATCTTCAATCAAGTTGTTATCTGTTATTAGAGTATCCAATGTGTTAACCATTCTAGAAAATTCACAACACTCTGTGCATACAGAATTCTCAAAAATATCTTTTTAAGTGAATACCTAAATTTTTTATTCATGTCATATTCAGGAAAATTTGCGTAAAGCAAGCAGCAGTAGTAGCTAAGTTAAGTTTCAACTATTTATTCATACAATTGAGTTTTTGAACAAACTTTTTTGTCGAAATTCAATAAATTATAATTTTTCTATGGCAAGGCGTCCAAAAACTACAACTATGGCAAACTTGCATTGTTTGAAACTGTGAAACTGAAATTTTCTCAATTTTCTCTACAAAATCCTGAGAGATATGCGAGCGAATTGCCAAAGCCATAAATAAATGTGGTGGTTGATTTAAATTCTTTTTTCCCTCTTTTCTGTCTCTATCTTCTCTATGGCTTTATACATTCTTATTGTCTCACTCCCAAGCAATGAATGAACAAAAACGAAAGAAAGAAGACAAAAAAAAACTATGAAATTATAATCGAAAAACTTTCCAACTCCAATGCTATGTATCCAGTTACTTTACGTTCTCAGTTTAGAGCAAAACCAGGGCACAAAAGCATTGATGAGAAAAAAGAAATGTGTGAGTGGGTGGAGGGAAATTTGGAGGGCGCGAAAAAAAACAATGGAAACATAATTTCCTCTCTTAACGATAAAATATGAGGTTCATTTAATTCTCCATTCTTGTGATTCTTCTGCGATTTCACAACGTCTTTGCCTTTCTTTCACCGCGTGCCGGCCTTCCTTAAGACGAAAAAAAAGAAAAGAAAAAAAATCCGAATGAAAGGAAACGTAAAAAGTAAAGGGAATTTCTGATGACGTCGACAGATTTCTCCATTTATATGTCAGAGCATGTGTGCGTTTATGGTTAACAGAAATAAAATTATGTTAATAGAAAAAGATTGTTTCACGAGCATGAGTAGAGAAATGGATGTGAGAACGACAAACGGCAAGGAAATATAGGAAAAGTAAACGAACATATAAATATAAAGATTACGTTTGAGAAGTTGGCAGGAGCCGTTCACCAGTTGTCTTAACAATGACACCGCCATCCATAATTTATAGCCTCACGCAAATTTCCGTGGCGTCTTCTGTTTATTCTGGATGTTTATTCCCTAAGCAAACACACGGTGGCATGTTTCTTTAACACCAACCAACCACCCACACAATGTCAAATCATAATTTTTAGCGCAATGAGGAAACACGTAAACAATAAAAATGTATCAATTTCTCTTCATCGTTAAGTTTGTCGCTTAGTCAAGCGCCACTTTGATCCATAAAAGAAAGTTTTTCATTTGGCATTAAGACAGCAAAAAGCAATAAAGTCGGCAAGTAGAAAAGTTCTCTCTTGATCAAAAGAGATAAGTTGTACGAGGCTGTATTGTATGTAAAATGTGGTGGATAAATACGCGTTAAGAATACTTAAGCGATGAATCTCTCCATATGTGTCTCTTGTAATTTTCATGGCTTGCCGAAGACTTTTATTGAGAAAGTTTCTTTCGGGATAATTTATGATGCTCTTGCGTTTGGCACTCGAGCCATTTTTTTGTTCACACTGTTTGATGAATAACAAATCGAAAGCACAAATAACGGCTGAGCTTTTGAATATATTTTTATGGCATATTTCTCGATGTTTCAACGCTCCTTACATTGCCAAATGGTTTAATAAACGAGAAAGAAAACTTAGAAGTCCTATTTTCGTTCACTAATCGTCTTTGTCTTTTGATGTTTGCTGAAAATTATGAAAGTTGTTCAAACAACACATTAAGTATTCAAAATATAAGAACAATTTGTTCGATATGGGAGAGACACAGAGCCGACATCGGATGCGGATGTTTAAGAACGCACTGCCCATGAATAAGTCTCAGTTCATAAATTTTATGTTATTTACTCTATCGATATCATCTCGTCTCAACCGATTTCGTTCATATTTCTGCTGATTTGCAAAAGAATGAGGTTTCCCTTGCTTTCTTCTTATTCATTGATCGAAGAAATTGACTTTATGAATATTTAATACATTTATCATTAATTACGCAGACGAACGTTCCGATAAATAACTTTCGAGAAGTCATAAACCATGCATGAGGCAACCGAAGTTGTTTTGATGTCATTGAGAAAGCCTTGCAGCCTACTGACCTTTTGTCTCGTCTTGTTTACCAAGAATTCTTCTTTCTTTTTTCATTCCACAAGATTTTAAGAAATAAAAGGAATTTGTAATGTAAATCATCCTAAGAATGTTTCCTTTTTTCGGATGAGTTGCTACATTGAATGCGAATAAAAAAGCAGAACGCGAAGCTTTTTTTTGTGCTGTGTTAGAAATTGGCTGAGAAATAAGCCAAGGGGGAAGAAAGGAAAAGAAGTTTTTTATTCTTTCTTTTATTGATGATTGATTAGAAGGATGTACAAAAAGTGAGAAATAATTTTTACAGCCCATCTGCTTATATGGGTCTACAGAACTTTCACATATGGCGAGCTTTACTTCTACCAGATGCTTGAACTATTTATTCACCGAGAAAAGGAATTTTCTTGCTTCAAATGCCGCATGGTTTTCTGGTCATTCCTAATGCAAAGGAATTTCTTTACTTAAACCAAAACTTTAGTTTCAAGTAGCATAAATCTCGGTAAAATTTCAAGACGATAAGATTTCATTTCAGACCTTTTATTCAGGTCATCAATCTCATTCAATTCGAAAGGATCGTGGGTTGAAAGAATGAGAAACGATGAAATGTTGTGTGAAAAGGCAGAAAAGATTTCTTTCCAGGACGCTTCAAGTGAAAAGAGGCGTGAAAGGCTCGGAACATGAAACTTTCAAATAATTAATGATTATGCGATTTACAATCATAAAACTCAAAAACATAATAAAAATAAATTCGGTGTTAAAATAAAAAGCAAATCAAGTGAGAATGAGACGAGAGATTATGAAAACTTATTTAAGTTTATTATTTAGAATCTGAAGCTTATCACGGCAATAACGAGTAAAAGAACTGACGCTAATCCCAAATGTGATGATCCACTTGTGCAAGGCCAATCAACATCCGAAGGCTCTCTAAAAAAGATTATTAAAATAAATCACCACTTGTCGTTTATCAATTCCAAAATTAACCAAAACATTGCCAACATTTAAGCAATTAAAAGCAATAATTTTCATCTATCAATAAACAAAATGATGACAAAAAATTTGAAACATTAAAAACTGTCAGCGTGAGGGAAAAACCCTCACCTTGATCTTAATTTATGGAGAATGTTTGTGACACATGAATAGCAATAAAAAAAGTCGAGTAATGCAAGGTGACGTGTGTGCGGATGTGTTGTTTATTTTGTTCTGGGGGTCACAATGAACACATGAGGGGATTTAAGATTTATTGTCGCCTAAAGAATAAAATGATTTACAAACCGTGTGAGAAAACAAACAAAGATGTAAAATTAAAATTTCGTAAAATGAAATAAGAATGTCACGAAAGCAAACGAAAACGTTTGTAAACATTACAAGAACAAGCGCAAGCTATTCAAGAAAATATTTACAAAATTCCAATGATGCCACATGCAAGACGACCGCCAGCGTTTCCAGTTTTATGTGAATCGGGATGATCAGTACGTCCAAGGTCATCTTCTGCTGCGTGAACGACAATCGCACGTCCAATGATGCTTCGCGATCCAAACAATGTAATTACGTTATCGGAATAAGAAGTTGAAACTGTGCCAGTTTGATCGGCAACAACATTTCCCAAATCTCCGACGTGACGATCAGAATCCTCACGAGCGCCGTGTTTCAATTTGTCGGGATTGTAATGGCCGCCAGTGCTCCTGTGGCGAAAATAATAAAAAAAGTTTCATCTTTTCCTTGAAAGCATAAATATTTATAAAAAAGAAGATTCACTACTCACACACAGCCACCGCTTAAGTCGCCTCTGAAAAAATAAAACAAAACAAAGAATTAAATTAACATTTAAGAGAAAAGTCAAAAGGTGAAGCGATAAAGCGTCGACAATTTCCCACAAGCAATAAAATCTTACTTTTCATGTACATGAAAGCCATGCTTTCCGGGCGTCAATCCAACTATTGCAATTTGTATGAAGACAGCTTCGTGGCACGATGGCTGCGAGAAGGTTACATCTAGAATATGACAAAAAGAATGAAAAAAGGGTCGTATGAGATTTTCATAAACTAATTCAATGACCAATTTTGAGATTTAAGAAGATTTTATCATCTCACATACTTCCAAACACTTTATCTGAGAAGCCCAACACTGCAATAGCTTTTGCTGGCTTATTATCTTCACCGTAAGCACAGCAACTCAAACAAATGACAAAGATGATGACTAAGGATTTCATCTTGATTGAGGGTGGACCGTTTAAGTTGAATGAATCGATTGTAACTGATCTGGAAAAATAAAGTTGAAAAAGTTGTGTAAGCTTTACTTTTGTCATTTCTTCTTTCCTCTCAAACATTTCCCCTCCCATTCAAAACATAATAAACAAGTTTCTCTCGTTCGCACTCTTGTTTTCTCGCTAAGTGAATAAATTCGCAATGAAAATAAAAGTCGAGAAACGATATTAATAATTCATTTTCGTGCCATGTCGTTGCTGTTGTGTTCTGTTCTGTGCTGTTGTTATTTTTCTTTACTTTTCTTTTCTTTCTTTTATCTCTGCACTCACTCTTGTCACACTCGTCGAACGTTAAATGTAAACACACTTGAAGAACAGCTTGAACAATGTTCACCAAAAGAATGGTACTTGAGATATTCGAATCGAATCCCAAAGAGAGAATACCAAATCTCGTGTATGGGGAACGGAACGGGTGGGCATTGACGACGGTAATCTGTTATGCAAACGTTGATCTGTTTTCTTTTCTCCTCCTCGTCGTCATAAACATTGAATGAATTGATGGTAAGTGGTGTGAAGTCATTCAAAGTTGTCGTGCGAACTGTCGTATGAGTTATGAAGTTAATCGCCTTTAACTAAGATTATTTGACAAATTCCTAACTGCGTATGTTATTTTACTCTCAGCTTTGAATTATTTAGTTCGCTAAGCGGTTTAATATTAAGTGAATGTGTATACAAACACCACGTGACAAAGCAATTCGTCGTAAACAAAATTTTTTTTTATTGCTTCTTTGAAAAGTAAAGTGTATCGATTTGCTTTTGTATTTTGAAACGACACGTTGATTTTTTATTTATTTTCATTTTTTTGTTGTATACGCAGTTGCCCTTGAGGTAGGTCACATATGAGATAAAAAAGAGATATGATGAAGTTTATTCATTATAAATAGCAAGATTAAAACTTTTATGAGTAATGAACAAAAAATAATTGATTTCAATAGCAATGAATCATTAATTAGAAACCTTTTAAATGAATATTTTCAAACGATTTGTTTACTCAATGGCATTATGTACCGAAAGTTATTTGCTTTCCTCCCTTGTCACTCTTTCGTTTTAAGCGGCGCAGGTTGGTTTCCAAAACTAGGTCATGGATTCAATTTATCATTTTGAAAAGTGCTTTTACCACCTGAAATTCCAAACGAATTCTTTTGCTCGTTGATTGTGTTCTGATTGTGACAGGGGAGAGCTCAAAAGTTTTTAAAGAGCAAACGATTTTACAGCTTGCAAAATTTCTTCGTCTCATTTTTATTATTCTTTTTTTTTGTATGTAGATGGATACTTTCTTAAGCAAAAATTACAAAACTTTTTCCGGAAATTCCTTCTTCATTTCCAAATTAGTTTTGTTTTTTCCTTCTTTTTATCTCACAACTTCAGCACGTGAAGAGACGATAACAAAGAGAATTCTACGGCCATGGTAGAAACTGAATTATTTTTCTTCCCAATTTACATAAAATATTATAACAAACTTTACTTTTTCCTCGTAATTTCCTTTCTTCGATCAAGACGCGTTTATTAATATTTCAAGGTGCTTGTGATTGCATAAAATTTTCTCACTTCAACTCACGTTTGCTGTTGACACTAAACTAAACCGAAACTACACCGGTTCTCACCGTTTTTTGTTGACTGTCTTTGGTAACGTGCGCAATTTTCCTGTTTGATGAGTTCTTGTGAAATCATTTGACTTATTAACTATCATTTTAGTCAGTTTTTGGATCATTCGCTGAAGTCACAAAAAACTTTAAAATATTTAATGGAATTAAAATTTTTTTGCAACTTTTAAGAATGTTTTTGATTAAAAATTGAAGCTTTAAGGAGAAGCTGGTTCATCGAACTTTACTTGTATTTTGATCATTTTTTCTGCTTCAAGCATCGTCTAAGCTTACAATAAATATTTAAACTTTATGTAACATAATCCACAAACATCCCTTCGCGCTTCAAAGTCATTCAGTATATCATGCAAATCACCTTAAAACACCTAAAAACATTGCGAGAACACAGAAAAGCACCATCGAGAACCTGACTTTTTTTTATCACTTCGTCTCGTTTCGCAACAATAAAGTTTTCATCTTTTTTATTGCTCTAGCACATTTTTCCCACTTTCTCTCGTGTTACTAAATTAACGACACGATGACGCAATGGCAATGGCACCCGACAAGAACAAAAAAACATAAAATAAGGAAAATTACGTTCTGAATTCAAAATTTCTCTTCTACATAGTCTGAACTCGTGTTAAGCGACTCGTTTTCTTGCAACGAGACAATTAAGATTAATTATCAAAAATAAGTGCTCAAGACAAGTTGATGAAATTCAAAAAGTCTGATAAGGTAAGTTTGTTTTGTCACGTTCAATGTATTTGGGTGTATATGGTCGGTGATTTCAGTTACCGAAATTTCTTATCGTTATTGTTATAGTTTATACGTGCAATGTTGCTGCTATTTTAATCACACACGCACTACCACACACTGTTTGAAAATTGGTATTAATTACCTAAACTTTTCCAGTAATACGCCAGCCACTCAACCAACAGCACACGCAAGACACGATTTATTAAAGGAAAGTCTCAATTGAAATTCCCACACTCGTTTGTCTCGTGTGCTTTTTCCACCGTCACAATTCAAGCTGCTACTGAACGAAATCGAACGAAAAACGTTTTGAACTCGCTCCACTCTCGATTTAAATCGCTTAGCGTATGTCAATTTAATTTTATTCAATTGCCGGAGCAAATAAAGTAGAACATAATGGGAAAATAAGAGCAGATAAAAATACGAGTGATTGCGAGAAATTATTACTCGTTTCTTGGGAAGCGATTAACTTTAAGTTTTCCAAAACAGATACTTCATAAACTTGTTTTTATTTTATGAGTTCTTGTTCTGATTTTCTACTTTATATTATTTATTTTCATTGCACCTGCATGACGACGATAAAGTGTCCTTGAGAAGGGATTAATAGAATAATTTTCAAGAGAACTGAATCAATTTATTATAATATCATATAAAAGCTCGCCCCTAGAAGGAATTTTCATCAGGGATTGGAAATGTTGTTGGTTGTGGGGTATTTAGGAAAGAAACGAGGGGGACGAAGTTAAGACTATAACTTGAAGGCGAAAATTTACTTATCACGTTCATTGAAATTAGGTAAATCTCATTTCACAAGTTTTCTTCTCAAAAGAATTTCGAATTTCAGTTCTATTTAAGCTCTGGTTTTCACATACATACATGACTTTGTCAATACTTATGATAATAATCATGATGACGGTTTCTATTTTATCACTATAAAAATGGTAAACAACTCTCTCCCTATAATAATAATAATAGTAATAATGAATTCATATCTAATGTGAAACAATTTTAAGAGCAAGTTTTTCTTTCGTGACCTTGACAAATTATTATTAATGTGTTCGGTTTAAGGACGATTTTGTGAATATAAGTATGAGTATTGAGAGGGTTTGAACGTCAACAAATTATCCGATTCAATGGGTTGAGGTGATGGCAAAGATTGATGTGTTTTTGAATGATGTGTTGTTTTCTCACCCTTTCCACCTTTTTCCATGAATGAAACTTTTACTAACATAAAAGCTTCATACGAGCTTCACATATCGCCGGATGAGTTTGTCAAGAGAACAATCGGAATGATGACTTAAAATATAAGCAAAAATTTATTTGCGATAAAATTTGAGCGTGCGGCACGCGGAAAGTCATGGGATTTCATTTATGTTACTTGCTAGATGAAAAAAATAAAAATAAATTGCTTTGAAATGATTCGCCATTGTGTCGAGTGGAATTACGGGTGAAGAAGAGAGCTTCACTTCTCCTTTGAATGTTTCGACCCCCATCAGCGTTTTAATGACGTTAGCAGATGATACCCGGAAAATCTAATTTCGACTATCAAGCATTTCCTTTTTAGTTTCTTCCTTACTCGGAAATGTCCATGACTATGAATTTTATTCGGTCGAAAACGTAGAGTTTACGACGAAAACTTTCAGTGTCGTAAATTTAACTGAAGATCTTAGGAGCGGTCGCTATCATTTCAACTATCAATAACTTTCCTCCTTTACAGTCTCAAAAGACATCTTAAAGTGACATGTTTATGAATCTAAATGGACTCTTATCTCTTTATGAGATTCTTCTAAGCCCTCTTGTAGTCACTCTCGAAATCTCAATGACTCGTTTTTTTCACTTTATTTTCTAAATGGAAATAATTTGGAACACTTAAGTGGATAGAACGAGAATAATTTAGAATTGAAAGTGATTTGCTTCTCTCGATTATAAAGAAATTACCATGCAAATCAAATACATTTCGTCATGAATGTTTAATATTTTGGAAAGACATCTTAAGAATCATTCCATCGATTTCAATTTCTTTTTTACTTTGAAGTCGATATTTTATTTTTCCCTCTTACGCATTGATGTTCGTAGCTTGTGTCTTGACTTTTCCTACTTCATGAGAAATTTCTCATCGATTAACTTTTACCCCCTTACCTTCATCATTCAGGTGATGAGACAAAGGGAGCGAAACAAGTTGGAATTTATATTCCTGTATTCTTAATCGCTTTAGTGTACAGTCGTGCACTCCCTACTCTGATGATGATGATGATGAACTTTTACCCTCATGAATAATTTTCTTCCTTCGATTCAAAGCTAAATATTAAGGAAGAGAACAAAAATCTCGAAAATTGATTTCTTCCAAATGTCATTTACCTTTTACCTCATTCGTACTCGATTTGTTAAGCTTTATTTAAAAGTTCTTCGATATTTTAAATAATAAAGTTTATAGACAGATAAAAAGTTTTAAAAATTTTAAAACTTACTCTTTCATTGTTGCTTTTATAACATCATAAGTGCTTATGTATTGATAATGAGAAAGTTATAGCCAGTACCGACTTGAAAAGTTTTATCAGTATTCCTATTCAATTAAAACCCATTCGAGACTTTTCATCCGAAAACCTTAACGTTAAAACTTTCAGACTATAAAGTCTTATGTTGAAATCAACGGAGATATGTGAATAAGTCTTTCCCACAGTTTAAAGCATAAACAAACTTTAAAAATAACTCAAACAATTAAATTTATTCGAGAAAATCCAGAAATTCCTTTTCACTGCAGGGATTTTCAGTCTCCTAAAGAACTGCAGTTTTTGTGATATCTACTTGAAATTCCTGATTCATTTTTTATATTACAAAAGCATTTTTCTTCTCGCTTTGTGTGATTTATGCTTTCCGTTTTCATGTTTTTTAAACCAACTTTTTATGCAAGACGACACAACAAAAGCTCCAGATGAAAAGACGAAATCATTAATCTGAAATATCTATCATAAAAGAATTTAATTTAAGTATTCTTGAATGCAGAAGCAATGCAATTTGAAGATGAAATAAGACCACGACCAGGCCAGACCTTTATTCACTTTCTTATTTGTGATAGCTCTTTTGAAAAGTCAATAAAATTCATTTGTAAACGTGAATAGAGCAGCATAAAGAATGTGAAAGGTTATTCTAATTAGAAAGAGAAGCAACCGCTTTCATGACATATAAATGTCACTAGACGTCATTTATAAAGAACAAAAACTAATAAAAAACTCCTTCAATCATGAGATATTTGAATGAGAATATTAGAACAATGAAAGCACGAAGTGAGACAGTCAAATGAAATATCATTTTCATCATTCTCGACTTTCAATGGTTTTGTAAATATTTACAAAAGCTACAAAAACACTTTTAACCTGAGTAGATGAATTGAAATTAAAAGAAGAGAAGATTATGTCATCGTTCATAGAAATATCTCTCTAAGAATGCTTCAAAAGCTGCATTGTTGTTGATTCAGAGATAAAATAATCAAAGATCACACGAAAATGATACGCTTTGGAAATTGCAATTTCACGTTCTATTTAATGAAACAAGCTTATCAGACTTCCTTCATCTCGCAAATGAATCTTGAGGGAAGTAAACACAGACACAAGTTAGCTTATGAAAGACATTTTCGCTTACATTTTGTGATTATCCAATCGATTTCTTTTTACATTAGTTTTTTATGTTGTCATCCAACCCAACATTGTAGTAAAGTGAACAAGAATCTTAAATCATTTGCAGTAATCTGAATTTAAAAGCGAATTGCTACTTAATGGCAAAGAAATAACTTAAAAGTAAGTTGATTAATTTGATTTTGCGTTTATGTAAAAGTTAAACATCAACGTGAATGCGATTATTCGCGATTTATCACCATTGAAGCAGACAAATTGGATGTTTTCAATTTTCATCCACATTTGACAATGAACCAAGTGAGAGGATGAAGAAAATTGATGGAAACCTTTAGAATCATTACACCATTAAATGAAAAGAAGCAGCTAGGTTTATGTTGACAGGAAATAAAAATGAAAATCGCTGTGAAAGAAAAGAAAAAGAAAATGTTAGGGAGAATTCATAAAAAGCACTAAAAAATTGTTTTCTCGTTTAAATTGCCTCCCAATGATTCATGCTGTAAGATAAAAACTTTGTGTTTAATGTGCTCAACTCTGTTCAACATTAACGACTTTCATGAAATAATCAATTATGTCAAAGTGTGCGTGAAAGTATTTCGAGGAAGCAACGAGGAAGAAGAAGTTTTAAGCTTGAGAAAATCTAACTAAATCTATCGGATGTCCCTCTTACAAGATAAGTAAAGTCGACAGAAAAGCTTTGAGAGAAGAATCTGCTGATGACATAGATTTAAGGGAGATTAAAGTGTGGGTGGGTCTGTTTACTAGCATTGCATAGAAAGGATATTCAAATCATAAACGTACAAACACAAAGACCAAAAAATCTATTCTTCCGTCATTCATTCATTCATAAAAGAAAAGTCATTAAAACTTTCATTTCCCCATCGTCAATAATATTAAAGAGTGTGAAAGATGAAGTGGTGTTCGAAAAAGATTAAACACTTTAAATGTGCAAGTCGTCGACTAATTAAATTGTTATCACAAATGAAATTCAGCTATTTTAAAATTTATCAAACGTCTTGCGACAAAGTCGACGATGATTTTATAATTAATCTCACGAAAACAAATTTTACGTATTTTCAAATGTCTCAGACATTCACGATTTATTTTCTCACTTCATTATATTTCCTTTTGCGTCTGAAAGGTGAAACTTATTAACTCAAATCTCGCGCTATGGAACGCGGCAGGGGAGGAAAATAATTCATCGTTTTTCTCTCTTTCGCTTTTTTTTTTGGGGGTAAAGTTTTAACAGGTGTTGATGGAAAAGCACGCAATTTCATCTTAGGGTTAACTGTTTGAGAAATGTGATAGATAGAAGAAGGAAGCACTTACTTGATGCGAAAGAAGGAAAGGAAACTTTCGTAACGGGACTAAAACATTTCGTTGAGTTTCATGTGTCAATAAATTGTGAAATTTTCTTCTGTTTGCCTGTTTCCACCCTAAAGCCACAAATGTATACTTTGTAGTCTCATATCTTGAACAAGGTTTTCCGATGAGCTTCCATCTTACTGTTCAAACAACGTCACAGATCTCTCTGGAATTAACTAGGTAGTGGAAAGGAAACCGTAATATTCATTCTAAAAACATACAACCGTGACTTGGGTTTTCATTTAAATTCTTTTCGTTCATCGGTAAAACTTCCACAAAATTTGAAGAAAATAAAATGGTTTTCAAATTAAGAAGAAAGAAAAAGTGAAAGACGAACGACGAGAGACGACTTCCGAAGGAAGAGAAAAATTCATCAAGGAAACATCGCTTTCTTCTCTTTTCTTGAACATTCAGTCATGAAGAAAATTCAAGTAGATAGCGATATGTATTTATGAGGAAAACATGAAGAAGTGAAGTCAAATGTTTCAGGTTTTCCTTAGGCATAACATAATTAAAAGTTTTTTATGCATCTTTTGAGATTGAAGTGCACACCTGACGTCTACTTTCTGCAGGGTATTCAGATTGAAATTGTTTGTATTAAGAAAGCCTTTAAAGGATTTTAGAGAATGAATCTTTAAGGCTAAGATTAACTTTCTACATTGGAAGTTTTGCTTCCTTTACCACAACTCTTCTCGTTTTTCATTGCAAATATTTACGTTGATTTTATCTGAGCACGTTTAAAGTTGCATTTGAGATATCCGCCCACACATCCAAAATATTCCCTTTTAAACCATATTTTATATCACCAGCTTTGTTGAATTTAATACCACAGTTGTGTTCATTTATTTTTCCATCAAAGGAATTTCTATCAAAAATTCTAAAAAAAGCTATCAAAGTAGAATTGAAAATTGAATTTAGGAAATTGTTTCAATTTCAAATTAAATATTTATGTTTGAGTGTGTTTGAAATCGTGTCTTTTGAAAGAAAACTCCAATGGAATGTGTGCGCTCTCGCAGTGTGGCAAGTAAACGTATTACGAGTCTTATAAATACGTAAAACTTATCAACTGTTTGTTCAATTATGGTTCAAAGATAATTCGAAATTGCTTCTTAATAGAAAACTTATCTAATCGTTTGAATGAAAATTTATTTATTGTTAAATTTTTTTTATTATTTTTCAATTAACAGAAATGTTGAGTGCTTCGACTCAGTAACGTTGAAAGGAAGGAAGCTTTAAAATATTCCAGATCGATAAAAATTTCGATGCTATTCAGAAGTTAATAAAATAATTTATTTGATTTTATCAATAGAGTTGAATAATCGTTGCAATTTTTCCAAACTTTGTTCTTCTAATCTTTTTCGATATGTTGAAAAGAATTTTCATTGACTTCAAAATCACCAGCACAGCTTCTTGGTATCATTTTTTTCGTCTGCCATGTACAGTTGGTGCCTTGTGATTGCTTGTAAATGTCAAAAAGTTTTCGACCCTTCTCAAACACAATTTCAATTCTTCATTTGAACTTTAACGTCACCTTTGGAACACTTTAGGATTTCGTTACAGAAGAGAGAAACAAATTTTTTTAAGCTCAATATTTAGAAAATTCAACTCATGAATCATCGAGTGTGTTGTGTAATTTTTTTTTTATAGTTTCAGCTTTCCAATGTTTTGCTACTCCCATGGTGAATCACTAAAAGTTGTTTTCACTCCCGAGAAGTATAAAAAGTTTGTTTAAAAGTGTTGTAAACATTTCATTTCACCCTTCCACCCTTTAATGTCAGAATGAAATTTGAAATTAATTATGTTTGCTTGCGTTTCTTGCTCTGATTCCAAATATTTTCTTTTCCCTTAAAATCTTCAAATAACTAAGATCCTGTGCTTCTCGTGGGAACTTTCTGTGCTGCTGTTTGCAGATGAATTATGTGAAATTTACGCCTTTTTAAGCTTTCTTAAAGAAAACATTTTATCCTATTGTAAGAGAGTTTACAATGTTTTGAGAAAGTTTAGCATCTTATATCGTCTGGATACTAAAAAAAGTCTTCTAAAGCGCTCGTCTCCCTCTAATATTTCTTACTTTTTATAGAAACTTCTTCTACATGGAGTATTATAACTTTTTAATTATATCGTTTAATCCTTGTTAACCAATTGGAAAGTTTATTAAATTTTCTGAACACCTTCGAGCTTTCCCTTCATATCTGCTAAACTGCTAAACAAAAACCTGCATTAAGGGATTTTACATTGATTGTCTTTTTAATGCTTTGAACGTTATTAATTCTTTTCTTTATGGAATTTTCTATCAAAACACCTGCATAAAAGATTCAATTACTTTATGTTATCGTTTTTCTATTCATTAGATTCACACAAACAAAATTACTCAATTTATTGTGGTTGATTAAATCTCTAAATTACTTGATTGAATAATTCGGTTTATTTCACAAACATTTATGAATCGATTTTTCACTTTATTAATCATGATTGTCAAGCAAGTAAGATTAGATAACATTTGTTGATTAAATACAATCGTTAATGCAACTGAGCTTTGGAAAAGCAATTTATCATTTTTTTTTTTATATTAATCAAATTCTACAACAAGTTTTATTAAAGTGAAGCATTACTCACACTTTTCCTCATAAAAAATTAACTGAAATAATTAAGGCCGCGAATGTCATCAAAATTTTTGGGAAAATATTTATTGAGGAGCTTTCAGTGGTCGTTGAATCTGTAGGACTCGTGTTTGAATTAGGAGTTGTCGATGTCACAGACGATTCTGAGGTTGATGACGCACTTTCAGTGGTCGTTGAGGGTTGCGTGGTTGTTGGGTTAAGTTCCAAATATTTTTCGTAACATTCTTTCAAATCATCGTAATATGCATCGAAGTCTATTGTTGAACCAATTGAGCCAACAATTGCTAATGATGCACAAGAATTTTCATTTAAATTAAAACTCCTTAAATATATCAAAAAACTAAACATTTCTTGATCGATTGCGATGATTTGATTCATATACAAGTTTAAAGTTTGCAATTGAGTCAGTGGACGAAAAACTTCCCCGTCTAAGATTGTCAGATTGTTTGAATTTAAATTAATTTCAATTAAATTCTTATTATTTTCAAATATTCCAATTTCCAAAGATGTTATTTGATTATCTCCCAAATACATTTGTTTGACTTCAGTCAATGGTCTAAACAGTTCTGGATCTAGTGTTGTTAGTTGGTTACCTTTAAATAAATTAAGTTTTATATTAGCGCTTTCTTAAAATAAATTTGATCATCAGCTTTGTTACCTGATAAGTCAATAATGTTTAATTGCGAAAGTGATGCAAATGCTTGAGATGGAATAGAGCTCAATGAATTGAAAAACAAACTTAAATCTCGCAATTTTTCTAATCCAGAAAATAAATCAGAGCTGATAAAACTTATTTGGTTACCATTTAATTCAAGCAAATACAAATTGGTTAGTGATTGAAAAGCATCAGCTCCGATATCAGAGATATTATTTCTTTGAAGGTAAAGAAATTTTAAGTTCACGAGTGGTTGAAAAATTGCATTATCGATAGAAGTCAGCTGATTATCATTGATGGCTAATTGTTGTAATGATTTTGCGTTTTGGAAAAAATTGGTTGCCAATCCAGACAGCTCATTATACGAAAAATCCAAGACCTCGAGATTGGCCATTGCTTCAGGTAAAACAACATTTAAATTTGTCAATTTGTTATAGATCATGATGAAACGTTTAAGATTTATCAAGGGTATCAAGGATTGAACTCGAAATTGTACCAATCCGTTATTACTTAAATTCAATTCTTCAAGGTTCTGAAGGCCAACAAACGCTTCATCATCTATAAAAGTTATTGGCTCTGAAACAATAAGAATATTTTTTAGTCCAGAACATGCTTCAAACGTCGATCTCGGAAGTGCGCGAAGATCATTTCCCAAAATATAAATACTTTCTAGTTGACTGCAATTGAACAACTTTCCAGATGTTATGTCTGTCAAACCAACATTTGAAAATTCCAGATAATTCAAGTTTGTAAACTTCAAAAAAATTTCTGCCGGTATAAACCGCATCGTCGAATTTCGTACACTTAGACCAACAACGCTATTGTCGTTAGATCCCGGTAAATGGTCTCCTTCAATCACTATCACATCATCCTCGTTCTCTACATTTGCTTCTTTTAGGGTACACGTGTATCCTGAAAAACTTAAATCTTCATATTCACATCTAGCTGCAGAACATATTGGAACAGTAATTGAAATAAACAACAAAAACACTTTCAAATGAAATTTTCTCATCCTAAATTATTGTTCAACTTTCCGTTAAATGCGAAGCTTTTAACTCAACGGCCATAGACACACTCAACAAAACAATCAGAATGTATCTAATTAAATGATATTTGAAATATTTATCATCAAAATATTTATTGGCTTTGATAGCAAGTGATAAGATTCATATAATTGGCAGTCGACGAAAACCATTCCCTTCAATACTTATGCGTTTAAGTTGACTACAATTAATCAACTTTCCAGNTTAAATAAATTAAGTTTTATATTAGCGCTTCCTTAAAATAAATTTGATCATCAGCTTTGTTACCTGATAAGTCAATAATGTTTAATTGCGAAAGTGATGCAAATGCTTGAGATGGAATAGAGCTCAATGAATTGAAAAACAAACTTAAATCTCGCAATTTTTCTAATCCAGAAAATAAATCAGAGCTGATAAAACTTATTTGGTTACCATTTAATTCAAGCAAATACAAATTGGTTAGTGATTGAAAAGCATCAGCTCCGATATCAGAGATATTATTTCTTTGAAGGTAAAGAAATTCTAAGTTCACGAGTGGTTGAAAAATTGCATTATCGATAGAAGTCAGCTGATTATCATTGATGGCTAATTGTTGTAATGATTTTGCGTTTTGGAAAAAATTGGTTGCCAATCCAGACAGCTCATTATACGAAAAATCCAAGACCTCGAGATTGGCCATTGCTTCAGGTAAAACAACATTTAAATTTGTCAATTTGTTATAGATCATGATGAAACGTTTAAGATTTATCAAGGGTATCAAGGATTGAACTCGAAATTGTACCAATCCGTTATTACTTAAATTCAATTCTTCAAGGTTCTGAAGGCCAACAAACGCTTCATCATCTATAAAAGTTATTGGCTCTGAAACAATAAGAATATTTTTTAGTCCAGAACATGCTTCAAACGTCGATCTCGGAAGTGCGCGAAGATCATTTCCCAAAATATTTATATTTTCGAGTTGACTGCAATTGAACAACTTTCCAGATCTTATGTCTGTCAAGCCAACACTTGAAAATTCCAGAAATTTCAAGTTTGTAAACCTCATAAAAATTTCTGCCGGAATGAACCGCATCACCGAATTTCGTACAGTTAGACCAACAACGTCATTGTCGTTAAATCCTGGTAAATGGTCTCCTTCAATCACTATCACATCATCCTCGTTCTCTATATTTGCTTCGTTTAGATTACACGAGTATCCTGGAAAACTTAAATCCTGATATTCACATCTAGCTGCAGAACATATTGGAACAGTAATTGAAATAAACAATAAAAATACTTTCAAATGAAATTTTCCCATCCTAAATTATTGTTCAACTTTCTGTTAAATGCGAAGTTTTTAGCTCAACAATCACGAGAATACTGAATGAACGAGTTCAAATTTCTTGAATGATATTCGAAATATTTATGCTTGGACCAGTATCAGTAGCACAAAAAGATTTATTAGCTTTGATAATTATTTATTTATAATACATCAATCTCACATAGCTTAATTTCACAGTTATGACTAAAAGTGGTGAATCATATCAACAAGTAAAACTTTTTTAGATTATCAACCAAAGATATAAAAAAATACTGTCGATTGATTTTTTTTAACATCTTTTTCTTATGAAAACATATTAACGACAAGTAAACCCGCCAGTGTCATTAAAAATATTGGTAAAATATTTTTTGAAGAGCTTTCAGTAGTCGTTGCGGGTTGCATGGTTGTTGGGTTCAGTTCAAAATAATTTTCATAACAGTTTTTGAAATCATCGTAATATTTAGTAAAGTCTATTGGCTGACCTGAGTTAGAAATAGGTAAGGGAATTGATGCACAAGTATTATCAGTGAAGTACAAAATTCTCAAATTTTCCAAATATTTGAACGCTTCTTCATCAATTGCTTCGATTTGATTTTCACTCAGACTCAAAATTTGCAATTTAGTGAGTGGACGAAAAAGTTCGCTATCTACAATAGTTAGATAATTTGAGCTCAAACCGAGATCATTCAACTTATTATTGTTTTCAAATGTTTCAATCGCTAAAGATGTTATTTGATTGCTTCTCAAAAAAATTCGCGTGACTTCAGTTAATGGCTTAAACATTTTCGGGTCTATCGTTGTCAGTTGATTACCTTTGAATGTTGAAAAAAATGTTATTGTAACGATTTCTGAAGAAGTATTTTTAAAATGTTCTTCACCTGATAAAGAAAGTGTTCCTAATTGTGATAGCGATGCAAATGCTTGAGAAGGTAAAGAAGTTGAATCCAAGAAATTGTTATCCAAATTTAAATAACGCAAGTTTGGCATGGTAGAGAAAAGTTCAACGTGAATTAATTGAATGTTATTGAAATGTAAATGTAGTTCATAAACATTGTTAAGCGATGCAAAGGCGTCAGCTCCAATCTCAGAAATGCTATTATTATGCAACACCAGAATTTGCAAGTTTACAAGAGGCTGAAAAATTGTGTTGTCGATTGAAGTTATATGATTCCCATTGATTATTAGTTGCTGTAATGATCTTGCATTTTGGAAAAAGTTTGTTGGGAATGCAGTGAGTTCATTAAATGATAAATCCAAGACCTCGAGATTGGCCATTGATTCAGGTAAAACAGCATTTAAATTTGATAGTTTGTTTGATAATATTTTCAGAATTTCGAGGTTTTTTAATGGTGTTAATGCTTGAAATCGAAACTGTGTCAATTCATTATTTGATAAAGTTAATTCCACGAGGTTCTCAAGGCCAACAAAGGCTTCATCATCAATAAAAGTTATCGGCTCTGAAACAATATAAATATATTTCAGCCCTAAACATGCTTCAAATGTCGATCTCGGAAGTGCACGAAGATCATTTCCCACAATAAAAAGTTCTTCGAGTTGACTGCAATTGAACAACTTTCCAGATCTTATGTCTGTCAAACCAACACCTGCAAATTGCAGATATTTCAAGTTTGTAAACCTCATAAAAATTTCTGCCGGAATGAAGCGCATCACCGAGTTTCGTACAGTAAGGAAAGTAACGTCATTGTCATTAAATCCTGGTAAATGGTCTCCTTCAATCACTATCATGTCATCCTCGTTCTCTACATTTGCTTCGTTTAGATTACACGAGTATCCTGGAAAACTTAAATCTTCATATTCACATCTAGCTGCAGAACATATCGGAATAGTAATTGAAATAAACAACAAGAACATTTTTAAATGAAATTTTCTCATCCTAAATTATTGTTCAACTTTCTGTTAAATGCGAAGTTTTTAACTCAACAATCACGAAAACACTGAACGAAACAGCCAAAATGTAATTAAATGATATCAGAAATATTAATCTCTCGACTAATATCACCAAAAGGTTTATTGGCTTTGATAGCAAGTGATAAGATTCATATAATTGGCAGTCCACGAAGATCATTTCATTCAATACTTATGAGTTCAAGTTGACTACAATTAATCAACTTTTCAGATAATAAATTCGTCAGACCAACATTAGAGAAATTCAGGGATTTCAAGTTTGTGAATTTCATAGATAAATGTAAATCCCTCCATATGATCTCCTTCAATCACTATCACATCATCTAGCCTCAGAACAGGTTGGAATAGTAATTGAAATAAACAATAAAAATACTTTCAAACGAAATTTTCCCATCCTAAATTATTGTTCAACTTTCTGTTAAATGCGAAGTTTTTAACTCAACAATTACGAAAATACTGAATTAACGAATTCAAAGTTATTGAATGATATTTGAAATATTTATTCTTGGACCAGTATCAGTATAACAAAAAGATTTATTAGCTTTGATAATTATTTATTTATGATGTACATATTACTCAATTTCACATAACTTAATTCTAGAGTTGTGACTAAAAGTGGTGAATCACATCAACAAGTAACACTTTTTAAGATTATCAACTAAAGATATAAAAGTTATTTTAGAGCGAATGATTTCAGATTTTTTTAATAAATTTTTCTTATGAAGAAATATTAACAAAAAGTAGAGCCGCCAGTGTCATTAAAAATATTGGAATGATATTAATCGAAGAGCTTTCAGTGGTCGTTGAGTCTCTCGTTAAGGGTTGCGTGGTTGTTGAGTTCAATTCCGAATAATTTTCATAACATTCTTTGAAATCATCGTAATATTGACTAAAATCTATTAGCTGACTTGAGTTAGAAATAGTTATTGATGCACAAGTATTATCAGTAAAATTGAAAACCATCAAATTTTCCAAATATTTAAAAGCTTCTTCATCAATTGCTTTGATATAATTCTTTTCAAGGCTCAAAATTTGTAATTGAGTGAGTGGACTAAAAACTTCCCCGTCTAAGATTGTGAGACGATTTGATCTCAAAGTAAGAGTTGTTAACTTCTTATTATTTTCAAATGTTTCAATTGCTAAAGATGTTATTTGATTATAATCTAAACTAATTTCTCTGACCTCAGTCAATGGCCTGAACATTTCTGGATCCAACGTTGTCAGTTGATTCCCTTTCAATGAAATAATCCTTTTGTTAGTGATTTCAAAAAAAAATATTTAAAAAAGTTTTTTACCTGATAAATCAATGAAACGTAATTGTGATAGCGAAGCAAATACTTGAGAAGGTAAGGAAGACGAATCCAAAGAATTAAAAGCCAAATTCAAAAAATCCAAGTTAGGCATTGAAGAGAAAAGATCAGCGTGGATAGAACGTATTTGATTCAATTGCAAATTAAGGGAAAAAATCTTATTCAGTGATTTAAAAGCATCAGCTCCAATATCCGAGATATTATTATTGCCAAGAAACAGATATTCCAAATTTACAAGCGGCTG